TGTTTCTATCTACATGTAATTTATTTTGTGTGTATATGATTATGTAATATTAAGAGCATTAAATTATTCCGTAAATTGTGTACATGTTCATAGCAATTTTTACTTGAAAGTCGCGAGTGCATTTTGCCTCAAGGTAGGTTTTCTTTAGGTAGTTAGTCTTTCCAACGAAGTGCGCGTATTGAAAAGTAGAAATGCGTGTCCCTCATTGAACAAAATATGATTCTGCGGTACTTAGCAGTTCCTCAGATTTTCTCAATTGAGTGCCCCCCAAAAAATTCCCGGCACACTTCTATGTGCCCAATGTACCTTGCCGATATTAGGCGAAAATTTTGTTTTTGTTTTAATTGCTTCTTTTCCTTTGAAGTATTACAATCATGAGTATCACGTAAAGATGAGAAGAAATAAAACCACCGTGATTATTTTCACCCAAACGCAGAGTGTCGTAACCGAACGAGGAGAGGAGACTTGGCTGGTTGTCAGTCTGCCTTCATTTTGAAAGGTAGGCAAAACGCGCTCCTGCGTGGTCGAATAGTGGTATCTCTGCACCTGCCAAATGTTTGCCCACTGAGATCCCGTGGAGCTTGCTTGCGTCAGGGATAACATGGCGCGGCGCCGCTGTTACCTGAATTTTCCCGGAAAACAATGCTGAAATACATTCCCCGTTTAAATTCTCACTAGAATTCTATTCATGAAGACCTGCAGTGAAAGGCTCCTTCAACTTAATAAAATAAACTAATAAAAAAGGAAAAATTCTTTGTTATAATATTATTAGAATAATGTCTCAAATTTATTATTTTTATAATTATGACCCAACTTCTTTCAATAAATATCAATTATTGAATTAACAATCCTTTCTTATAAATCACATTACCTAATTATTTGATCAATTTTAGTATTATTCTTATGAGTTCCATTCTTATCACTAACTATGCACAAGCACGAAGTTGACCACTTAATTAATAAAAAAAGGGAATTTATGACCGCTTTCATACAATAAAGATTAAAATTTGGTATTTATACGAATTAAAACTGTTCTGCTGGAAATCCGAAAGATTAGAAAATGCTCTGGAGATTATTTTCAATGAGGAGAAGGCTGAAGAATAACAATCGTCATTACAAAACGACGAAAGTGCCCTGGAAATTCTCCAATTGACGTAATCACAGTTTTCACGGCGGGAGACACGGAGGTAAAAATACGTCCTCTAGGCGGCTATCTCTTGTCTACTCTGCCGTGCTAAGGAAGAACGCCGTATGAACATTCCAGAGTTGCCAAATTTACTTCGATAAAATGCTTTTTGAGCAAAGTTGTGAATATTTTTCCTTGAAATTTTCAGAATCTTTAGGTGAAATTGCAAACAATATTATCTCAGAAATTGGTAGGAAAATATTCATAAATTTACCAGGAAATTCGTGTTTTATTAAAGGAAATTTGGCAACGCCTGAAGGTTCATGCGGCGTTGCTCCTTAGCACGGCAGTGCTGCGGTCCCAGCCGTTTTATGACTGGGCATAATTTCATAGTATATACTCGGGACGGTAGCGAATCCTCTCTGGCTTCTCGAATCAGTGAGTCGCGCTGAGGACGGAGGTCGGGACACCTCCGAAACGCATCCGCTTTAAAATTACAATTTTATACAAGAGAGAGTTTCTAAATGAATTTTATAAAAAAAATGTAATTTCTTATTTTAACTTTACCACTAACACAATCTCCCGGAGTATTTGAAGACACCGCGCTCCCCGTTTAAAAATTTGCCAAAAAGGCTGAAAGCTATTGCCCATTATTTATTACTGAATTAATGAATAATGTGGAGCAAGGAAGAAAATCAGATCGTAATTATCTCCACATAGTCATTGAGTATTCAATAGACCAGTCAGGTGAAGAGATTCAAATTTGTGCATCATCATGTTTCTAGCTATTGCTCAAAGAATTTTCAGCAAAAAAAAAAGAAGGAAAAAGAGAAAGAAACACGAACATGATTTCAAGTACGCTCGCGAAAAATTAATTTCTTAAATGACTATTTTGATCGATTTCGCGGGGGTTGGACCCTTGCAAGGAATAATTCGACAACTATGTCTTCTGAGCAGCGCGAGGTATAGTGCCGTGCAAAGGAAGACCGCCGTATGAACAATCGAGAGAGGCCAAACTCTCATCGATAAAATTTTCATGTTTGAGAAAAGCTGTGCATATTTTTCCTCGAATCTTTACGAACTTTAGGTGAATTTGAGAACATATTTATCTTAAAAAATTAGAGGAATGATATTCACAACTTTTCCCGAATATTCGTGATTTCCTAAGGGAAATTTTGCAACGCCTGAGAGCTCATACGGCGTTTCTCCTCAGCACGGCAGTTTTTAAGGAGATTCAGAATTCAGTCCTAGGTGTTCAGCAGGGGAGAAGGATTTTTTTTTTCTTTTTTTTTGCATTTTTTTTTTTTTGCAATTTTACACGAATTTTATGAGAAAACCAACTCGCAAAATTCCTCACATGTGGGTTTCGTCGTTCTAAAGTATTTGTCCCTCATTATATGAAAAAAACGACAGCAGAACTTGTTTTAAAACCATAGAAATCACACATAAGAAAGACTGAAAAGAAAAAAAATCGTCGTAGCACCTAATAGTACCGTGTAAAATTAATGCAATTTGTTTAGTTTTAGTTGTAAACCATGTAGATAGATACAAGGAAATACTTGCAGTAGTTACGTTATATTTAAATTAAATTCCTTCAAAAAAAAAAATATAAAAAAAAAAAAAAAGTGGTTAGTTTGTGATGCGGCAATGAGTTTCCTTTGATGCGGGAAACTTGGTTGTCCCGGAGGAGGAGAAAAACGCCCGCGGATGCGGAAGTCTTAAAAAACGTGATAAGAAGAAAGTGATTTAGGTGCTGTCGTTAGCAGCAAAAACCGAGGGTATACTTTTCGTTGATTTTCATAAAAAACAGCATTTTGAGGAAAAACACAAAAAAAATTAAATATAGAATGGGGATACGCTGTTTTTACTCAAAACGATTCGGTGAGCTCTAGACTTTTTTGGCGTGCATCGTCGTACATGTTGGGCGAAATCGTTGAATCAATGATAAATTAACGTACTTAAGAAAATTTGAAACAAATAATTCAGTAACTTTGTTGTAAATATGAAAAGGAGAAGACGCGTACCTTACAATTGAAACTTGCACTCAATTCATAAAATGTAAGAATGTACACACGAATATTTACATTATTTTGGGATCATGAGCGATAACGCGCCATCGACTTAATCATTCGATCCGGCGGGTCTTGTTTCAGTTAAAAAAAATCTCATAGGCTGATTAGACAAACTGTGCAAACCAGAATACATTATTTCCGCCTCAAATAAAATCTGGACAAGAATAGTACTGTCGTGCTAAAGAAGAACGCTGTGAGCCTTCAGACGTTGCCAAAGTTCCTTTGCCTGAACACGAATTTTCAGGATAACTGATGAATATTTTCCGTTTAATGTTTTAAAAGAATTATTTCGTAGTTAGATCTCAATCATCTGAATATTCCAAGAGAAGATCTAATTGCGCACATGGATTTATATCATCTGAAAATTCTAAAAGAAGATATTTATAACTCTAATCGTTCATAAACATTTAATTGGAGGAAATTTGGCAACTTTCGAATGATCATGCGGCGTTTTCCCATAGCACGGCAAAATAGGTCCCAAGCCATAAGTTTCTTGGCAAAAAAAAATACACCACGGGAGAGAGAAAGCCTCCTGCGCAAAGATAAGGTACCTACAATGTTGGAATAGACGTAATGAAATAAAGGGATTTTAATTCAATGTGAAATTCAAGAGGAAAAATAATAAAATTGTATTCTTGCAACTTACTTAAGAAGGACCCTTTTTTGCAAAACTAATCTTTAAGATAGACCCTCTTTCCTTATTTATTGGCGTGTGTCCGAGTTTTATACTACCACACAGCTTTCACTAAAGAGCTGTGGGTCCTGAGAACTCACACAATTGGCTAGTTACTTTAGCGCAGATCCGACTGAAAGATTAAAATTATAATCTTTAAGCTTTAGAATTGCGCACTTCACTTTGGTGCTGAAAAATTAAGGATACGAGATTTCAATTCCAACCAACCGAGGTAGGGCAATAAGTATTACTGCGATTGGAAGTAGACTGGATTAAGACTGGATCGATCAGATCACTAAATTTCTGATTGTTCCCATAAAAATCAAAATTTAGTAGAGCAATTTTTAGAAACAAAAAACTTTGTATTGAACGGTCACCGAAAAGCATGCGACATATTTTCTTGACCCTTATGCCTTAAAATTAGGATCACTAAATGAAAATTAATTTGAATAAATCGATTTTGTGTGCGATGGTTGATTCATTCTGACATTTCCCCCTGAGTCTTTAATAATTCAATCACTCTGTAGTACGCCGGGTATTCATACAAAATATTTGATTGAGGAAATGCCTGCAGTACAGAACGCCTGAATTCCCTAATAACGCAGTGTGAGCGACGGCACTATTTCAGACATTCAAACAGGGCATTCCATCGGAATGAATTCGCAGTGTTTCCAAGTCAAACCTGTTGTGCGAATGCCCAAAGTGCTACAGGATGATAATAATCCGGATATTAATGAAGAAAATCACTCAAAATTATAAAAACAATCGACACGCCGATAAATCATCGAATCAATCTACAAAGGACAGGAATCCACCATATCTGATTAGCCCGTAATTATGACGAGAAAACACACGCGAAAAAAATTTGGGTAGCATTTACCATACTCGGCTAAAAAACGGCACAACCAGACAGTATGGTAACTTCGACCAAAATTACTGTCACAATACAGAAAAATCTTGTTACTTTCACGATAATATTGATGAAAATTACCATACTCTCTGGTTGTGCCGTTCATTAACCAGAATATGGTAAATGCTATCTAGTATTTATCTGTGAAACATTCGAAAACATTAAACTTTAAACCACAAAAGAAAGAAAATTGAGAGAAAAAAATTGCCCGGGACTTACCAAAGTCATCGGCGAACTGCTTTCCAATCTGCGCCCAAGTTGCATCGACAAGCTTGCTGTTGTAGAAGTTCAAGTCCCTCTTGTCGTACAAATGACGGTGTTCTTGCACGGCTTGAATCAATTCCAAATCGTTGATTATCACGTCCGAAATCCACTCGGAAGACATCGTCGGCCAATATCTTTTCACTAGTACCAAAAAACCGTTCACAGCGAGGAAAGCCAGGTCAATATCGGATATTGCCGTTGACAAGAAATAAACATAAAACAAAGTTCGTCGCACAAATAAACCCCGGTAATTAAGTCAAATATAAGGCACAGGACGGAAAATCGGAGGAACAGTCAATGGAACAGACACACTTGAGAAATTACCGATTGATTAGCGAAATCGGAAACGAGTGCCGAAAATACCGATCACGTGATGAGCAATACAGTTCGAAGACACAAGTACTTTAAGACGCAAATTCGTTCACTAAAATCTCAACCTAGATTACGAACGGCAACGCAAAATAAAAATTCGGAAACACAAGAGCGAGCTAGAGACGGAATTGGATCTTCAGTGCGAACTGATCAAGATCGAAATGATAACTGATCTACCCTGATCGCGCCGCAGGTGAGTTAAGGGTGTCGGATCGGAGGATCAGTTGGAGGGGGTGTGTGAATCACAGCGGAGAGCGGACGGGGGTAGCACGCATCGGTAATAGCCCGCGAAGGCGAGGGGAAACACGCTGAGGGCGGCGCTGATTGGCGGTCACGGCGGAGGAGGGGTGGTTTCGCTAGGGGTTGCATACACCTGTGCGTATGACGTGCATGCCAAGGACAGGTGAGCAAGGTGGATTGAAAGTTTCTGGAGGGAGGGGAGCTTGATTAGTTGTCCAAGGGAGGAGAGAAAGAGAGAGATGGAAATATTTAATGAAGGGTGGTGAATTTGACTGTGAGGGAAGCTTTGGACTTGGAAAAACTTATACAAACATGTTCAATGTACTATTATAATTTAAGGTTAAAACCAACATGAAAAAATGCATTATTACATTAACATAGCTGCATTTCTGGTTCTGGATAAAAAATTTAGGATGCTGTAAGAAAATGCAGGAATGTAAAATGTAATAAAGTGAAATAGCCGGTAAATTACTTCATTCTGCATTCCACTTCTACCGGCTTGATTAATTAGTATTACATGGACCGATGATTTTAGTTCATTTAAGTTATTATTATGTTTAAAATATGGCATGAAGGTTCATTAATGAATTAAACGCCGGTGGAACATTTCGAATTCGTCAACTCTTCCCTTTATTTTTCAAGAAAAATAATTGAAATTGAATCCACGGAAGCTAGAAAATTTCGAATTAATTTTCGTGGATATTAAATTAAGAAAGTTTTTACGATAAAGTTTAACAACTTTTTATATGTTTTGCTAAGTTTCTATTGTTGGAGAATTTCTTGCGGAATTCAATGAAATTATAGAATTCTCATGTCGATGTGGGAAAGTGTTCCGCTCTAAAAATTATATTCTCAGATTTCCACATCAGAAAAAATCGTAAAAAAATACTGTTAACTTAACACACTGTTGTACTTTTTCCATTGATACAACATAAGAGAAAGAAAAGAAAAATATTAGAGAAAAAATCGATTCACTCGAATCTAATGAGCTATGGTTCCGTACCAAAGGGCACAGAAGTCTTGGTGGATGCGGCGCGAAGACAACCACGTGGATTATTTGCACGACTGATTGCAAGTGCAACGATTTTGAAGCTACAAGTTTCCAATGAAAAAAATTCGTATTGCCGACGTTTATTACACTGCCGAGCTAAGTAAAAACGCCGTAAAAGCATTTGAATGTTGCCACATTTCCCCTCAGAAAATAGTTACTAGTGAGGAAAGTTATGAATATTTTTCTTGGAAATTTTTTGACTTTTTAGATCATTTTCCGTACGAAAACTTCTGAAAAATCGGAAGAGCAATATCCACAGATTCTCCTGAAAATTCTTGATTTGTCGAAGAAAATTTGACAACGACTGATGGCTCATATGGCGTTTTTCCAAAGCATGGCAGTGCAGCAAACGAGTTTAAAATCATGGCACCCGTTCGCGCGAATGTCTTGCCGCTGCCCGCGCCCTGTGAAAGCGTGGCTCCGGACGACGATTACTCTCGCCGGAGCGGCAACGTTGCGAAAGTGCAGTTTAACCATGCACTGACTGCGAATCCGGGCGCCGGATGGTGAGCGAGCTTTTTTCGTCATCGTGATATGCGGGACCAGGCGGTGGCGGGTCCGGTGAGAAGGGAGGGGAGGGGAGAGGGTGGCCGGCCTGCGGGAAGGCCGTCGTCGGCGGCGTCCGCGAACCCGCGAGTGCGAGTGGGGGCAACGAACTTCGAGGCGCAAGCTCGGCGTCGCCGCCGCCGGCCACGCTCGAGATACATCGCCGTCACACGCACCCACCCGAAGATCCAAAGTTGCCGCCTCTCCTACTAATGCTCAAAGTTTCAACGTCGAGTGCCTATACTGCCGTGATAGCGAAGAAAGCAGTAGGTGCAAAAATGAAGTTTTGAGAAAACGGGCTCAAAGCTTTTGATCAGAAAATTTAAGATGAATTTTGCTATTTTAGTTATTTCAGTGATTTCATCTAAAAGAGATTAGACGAATTTTGAGGGTGACGCGATTTCGAAAATTTGACACTTACTGCTCTCTTCGCCACCGCGGCAGTAGAAGAACGGGGAGAGAACGGACATGTCGAGATATGGAGCCAATCAAAAGGGCAGCTAACCTTCTGACATAAAAAATGTCACTGCCAATCTGCAGATTCCAATATCAAACCGAGATGGCCAAGAATTGTCATTAATGATCAAAAATGAGTGAATTTATGGAACAGCTAATTCAAATACGTGCTTTCCAAACGACGAGTCGTAACAATTGTAATAAAAAGCAAAATCACTCTATATGTTTGAATTCATCGGCTGGCTGCTCTTTTCGGCCCTAAAAGCTCCATGACCTAACCTTAAATTAGCGAAATGTCTGTACTCTCCGAATATAGGTGCTCTAGTTGTCGCCTGCGCTTGTAAAGCTCACGGTTCCAAGGTAGAGAACTTGCAGGGGGACAGTGCGGCGTGCGGCCAAGTCGGTAATTTGAGGGTTTGATCATGAAGCTTTCCCAGCCCAAAAGGGCAGCCAAGCTATGAACTCAAATGATCCAGAATAATTCATTATTACAATTTATTGTTCCGACCCGTTGATGTATAAGCACGGATTTGAATCAGTTTTTGCGTAAATTTACTGATTTTTGCGGAGGGATGCTCATTTGTGAACAATCTTGGCCATCATGGTTTGATATTGGAATCTGCAAATTGGCAGCGGCATTTTTCTGGTGTTTTTCGTGTTTACGGTTGGCTATGCCCTTTGGTACCCTAAGAACTCAATCAAAATTGTGTTTGATTTTTGAATTATATTTGGATGTGTGTCAAATTATTCTACATGAGTTGAAAATCTGAGAGCCGCAGGGAAGACGAAACAAAAACTGTTCTTTACTTGCTAAAAATTTCAATATTGGACTGCATTTGGCACTTTAGAAGCACGATATTATCTGCCTCTGTTTAGGAACGACGTAGGTGCCGTATAATTTTCCTAGGCACGTGAGTGTTTTACAGATGGGCTTGAAGTTGTAAATTCCCAGCTAATTGTTGCTATTTCTAGTCGGAAAATATAATCCAATTGGATGGCATTTAGCAAAAAGGATCCAGCGCGATTACAGTGCTTTTAGATTTAGAATCGTGCAACTCCTCCTTTCCTTTTAAAAATACTTAATATATTTGCGGTAGTAAAACTTACACAATTATTTTCCTTTAAAATAAACAATTTTTTGGTGGGAAGCCAAAACTATTTGCTATTCTGGGAGATTTTTTAGATAATTATGAAGTGGCAACATTTTTACAACACTGTGATTGCGCTGGTTCCTTTTTGCCAAATGCGATGCAATTTATCTTCTGATCACACGTGAAAGTCAGCACAATTTTGTACGGAGGTCGCTCGATCATCCTCTTGTAATAATTGCCTAATTTCGAGTCAATTCTGCAACCTGAGAAAGGAATTGCACTTCGTCCGGCAACCGACGCATTGCGAATGCAAGACGTATGAATTCGCCAGAGACCACATCGAGGAAAACAATGCAATGATAACGGATGTGTCGTCGGAAATTGGCCAAATGATTGCGACCGATCGATTCGCCTCTATCTTTCATGAGACGACTCCCTATTGCTTTCTGTTTTAACCGCGTCCCTCCCGCCCTGGCGGGGAAACTCGGAGTGGGAAAGGCGATTGACCCGGAGTCCCTGACCCTGCCCAATCCCTTCGTGCTTGCTCCGCACATTCAAGTCCAACTTCACTCGTTGTGTAACTTTAGCACTTTCGTAACGCGGCTTCCCCGCCGCATTATCCCTGCAAGCTCATTCGGTCGATCGGTTTCAACGTAATTACGACTCTTCTCACAACGTAACCTCTGCGGATTTTTCTGGATAGACTGCTTTCCTACGATGACACTTTCCTTCCCAAGTTTTTTTCAAATGCTTGTCTGGAAGTTTGTAAACTTACTCAGTATTCCCGCGTTTGCCTCCCAATACTCAACTAACAACCGTTTCATCGCATGAAATTATACCGTTTTAATGAAAGTTGAAAAATTTGAAGCAGTATTGCAAGCTTCTTGTGATATATCAGAGTACTTACTTGGCACTGGTACCGTTCCCATAGTTTTAAAAACGTATCGCATACCTGGAAACGAAAAGAAAATAAGAATTAGTTAAAGACCTTGAGAGATCAAGATTTGTGATATTTTAAGTTCTTTACAAGTATACGAATTTAGTCGAGCTTAAAATTTTAGGCAGAGGAGTAAAAATGGTTATGAGCAGTGTTTAACACTAACGTTAGACTTTAAGTCGGGAACGGTCGACTTAACTCGAAAAAAAGGACGATTCCAGATTTTCTATCAAGTTAAATAAATTCAAATAGTGTCTGTTGTAGATTAAATATAACAAAAAATGCAAACTATATTCATTCTCATTTTTGGTTATCTAAATCCACTAGGGCTCGATAAACATAAGCATGACAAAGACACAGACTTAACGAGATCCATTACAGTTCGTACATCAATCGACAGAAACTGTCTCAGCTGGCCGTAGGCGCGTTTGCACTCTTACCGCCTTAAAATATGACGATGCGACTATTTCGACACTCGCACATTATTTTTGCCTAATCGTCCAAATGAAGGGAGAAACACGTTGCAGGCCGCGACTCGGAGAGAAAGGGCAATTTACTTTATGTTGAGAAAAGTGGCCAAAACCGATCCTATCGTTCAGGAACAATTTTTATCCCTAGGGATTGACCAACATGTTTCATTTTTGCGCGACTTTAGATCTGCGTGCACGTTAACCTGGCATAATTATAAACAAGAAGAAAAAATTCAACATGAGTATGTTGGAAAAGCGTGCCGAATAACTGAAATGTTGGACAAATACCTCTTATTTTCACGTCTTTGCTTTTTGCATCAATTGGTACTTTTTGCTAAATTTGGGAGAAAATATTGATTCATGAACGTTGAATGTAAATTAATTTTAAAGATTCCGTCCAATTATCTTGATTTTAAGCTGATATGCGGCATTTGCGCACGACCGTGATTTGGGCGAACTGCCGTGCATCGAAATCGCGTTCAGTTAATCTCTTTGGATTTCGAACTGTAACTTCTCTCCTATTCGGCCGATTTGTACAAATGAGGTCTCTTTTTATTTGTACTTCAACGGAAAGTAAAGAAAAACTCGCTAAATAGACGGAAAACAATTTTTGAGAAAATTTGGTGGATCCTGGCATCACGGTGAATGGTTAAT